TCCAGCCTGGTTGAGTGACAGAGCGAGACTCTGTCTCAAAAATAAAAAAGGCCAGGCGCGGTGGCTCATGCCTGTAATCCCAGCACTTGGGGAGGCCGAGGCAGGTGGATCATGAGATCAGGAGATCGAGACCGTCCTGGCTAACACGGTGAAACCCCGTCTCTACTAAAAATACAAAAAACTAGCCGGGTGTGGTGGTGGGCGCCTGTAGTCCCAGCTACTCAAGAGGCTGAGGCAGGAGAAAGGTGTGAACCCGGGAGATGGAGCTTGCAGTGAGCTGAGATCCGGCCACTGCACTCCATCCTGAGAGACACAACAAGACTCTGTCTCCAAAACACACACACACACACACACACACACACACACAAACAAACAACTAATGGATACCAGGCTTAATACCTCAGTGATGGAATAATTTGTACAGCAAACCCCTGTGATACTTGTTTACGTATGTAACAAACCTGCACATCCTGCACATGTACCCCAACCTTAAAATAAAAGTTAAAATTTGTTATTTTTCATTTAAAAAGAGGTGTGTACCCTATGTGTAATGAGTTTATTATTATTAAGTGAAATGGTTTTTAACTATCTTATTAATAGTTTTTATTATGGCCAGGTGTGGTGGCTCACCCCTGTAATCCCAGCACTTTGGGAGCCCGAGGTGGGTGGATCACCTGAAGTCAGGAGTTTGAGACCAGCCTGACCAACATGGTGAAACTTCGTCTCTACTAAAAATACAACAGTTAGCTGGGTGTGGTGGCACATACCTGTAATCCCAGCTCCTCAGGAGGCTGAGGCAGGAGAATTGCTTGAACTGGGGAGGCGGAGGTTGCAGTGAGCTGAGATCATGCCATTGCACTCTAGCCTGGGCGACAGAGTGAGACTGTTGTCTATTAAAAAAAAAAAAAAAAAAAAAGGTTTTATTTTAATTGCAGTAAATAAAACCCACAGAAACAAAAACTTGGAGTCCTCAATTTTTAAGCATATGAAGAGGTTCGTGCTTGTAATCCCAGCACTTTGGGAGGCCAAAGCAGGAGGATTGCTTAAGCCAAGGACTTCAGGACCAGCGTGGGCAACATAGGGAGACCCCGTCTCTACAAAAAAAAAAGAAAGAGTGTAAAGAGGTACCGAGACTGAAAAGTTTGAGAATGCTGTTCTTATTAGAAGTAGAAGAGATGGGAATATTTGTATGTTGCTTTGGAAAGGAGCCAATAATATGATTACATATACCCTAGGATGTGACAGTTCCCAGAAAATCCCTCAAATCTTTATTTAGACGGTAAGGCTCCTGAAATTATTGAGGCATATGATGTATGTGGAAGGAAACTCATGAATACATTAGTCTTGGGATTTAAAAGAAAGATGAAAATGTCTTTCTCTAGTTTTAGTTGTTATCAACCGTAGTTGTACCTGTGGAGCTTTATGAAATAGATGCTCTGGCTGTACTTTATTTCTACTGAACCGGAACCTGTAGAGGTAGGGAACGTTTTTTAAGCTTCATGGATGATTCTGATACCTAACTAGTATTAAACTACTGCTCTGGTGGAGCTGAAAATGCAGAAAGGTCTTCATAAAGGGTGGTAGTTGAAGTGCATTGAGAATGTGGGTACTCTGGAATGCTGCAGAGAGGCTAAATGAATGAAAACTAAGAAAAGACTGTTGCATTGGATGATGTCTTTAGTACCCCTTCATAGTGCTTTTTAGAATAGAAGACAGTCACAGAGCATAAGAGGGGAGGGGAGATAATTGGGGCAGTATGTATAGATCTTTCTTGCTTTATGTAATGTGACAATGAAAGGGTGAAAAATACAATCATTGCTAAAACATACAGCTAATGAAGTTTGTTCAAAGGTAGAAAGGTGGGAGAACGAATCATATAGGCCTGATTAGAAAGTAGAGGAGGAGGTCAGGCGCCATGGCTCATGCCAGTAATCCCAGAACTTTGGGAAACCGAGGTGGGTGGATCACGAGGTCAGGAGTTCAAGACCAGCCTGGCCAACATAGTGAAATCCTATCTCTACTAAAAATACAAAAATTAGCTGGGTGTGGTGGTGGCACCTGTAGTCCCAGCTACTTGGGATGCTGAGGCAGGAGAATCTCTTGAACCTGGGAGGCGGAGCTTGCAGTGAGCTGAGATCCGGCCACTGCACTCCAGCCTGGATGACAAAGCGAGACTCTATCTCAAAAAAAGCAAACCAAAAAAGGCAACACCATGGATAAGAGAAAAAAAAAGACAGTAGAAAGATTGATAAGTATGGGAACAATGTACTGTACTATCAATAGAAATAGCGCCAAGGGATAGAGATCTATTCCATACTTGTTTATTTTATTTTTTTTTATTTTTTGTTTTTTGAGATGGAGTCTTGCTCCATCGCCCAGGCTGGAGTGTGGTAGTGCGATCTTGGCTCACTGCAACCTTCGCCTCCCAGGTTCAAGCGATTCTCATGCCTCAGCCTCCTGAGTAGCTGGGATTACAGGCGCGCACCACCACGCCTGGCAGCTAATTTTTGTATTTCTAGTAGAGACGAGGTTTCACCATGTTGGCCAGGCTGGTCTCGAACTTCTGACCTCAAATGATCCACCAGCCTCATCCTCACTAAGTGTTGGAATTACAGGCGTGAGCTGCGGTACCCAACCTTATTTCATACTTAAGATCTTGTTTTAATCCATTTGATTGCTATTTATGAGAGACTCTTGTCAGTCTTTCTCATCTAGTCCTGAAATTTCGGTATAATAATGGGTTCCTCCTCCTTTTAATCTTTTCTTTTTGCCCTACAAACTCACTCGTTCTTTTGGAATATTTTCCCATTTCTTCCTTTCTCAAGAAAGATCTTTAGCATCAGTCTTATCAGATTATCATAGGAATTATAGTGCTCAGCTCAGATTTTCATACAAATTACAGTGCTCAGCTCAGATTATCATACGAATTACAGCGCTCAGCTCAGCTTACCGTACGAATTAGGGTACTCAGCACAGTGCCTAGGACAGTGAAGGGTAGCTGTCATGTTATTTAACACAAATAGCAAGTGATTCTATATTGGAATTAGTTTTAATGTACAGTTTTTCCCAATATGGTTTAATCTTCATCTGGTTGCAATTTCAGAAGGAAACCACACGTAGGGCAGCAATAATTTGATTTAAAAACTAAAAACTTTAAGCCAGCTGTGGTGGCTCACGCCTGTAACTCCAGCACTTTGGGAAGTCAAGGCAGGCAGATCACCTGAGGTCAGGAGTTTGAGACCAGCCTGACCAACATGGTGAAACCCCGTCTCTACTAAAAATACAAAAATATAACTGGGTGTGGTGGTGTGTGCCTGTAATCCCAGCTACTAGGGAGGCTGAGGCAGGAGAATTGTTTGAACCTGGGAGGTGGAGGTTGCAGTGAGCCGAGATCACGCCATTGCACTCCAGCCTGGGCGACAGAGTGAAACTCCGTCTCAAAGAAAAAAAAAAAGAGTTTGCTTTACTGTTTAACTAACATTTCACCTTCTAGAAACTCACATCTTCAGAAAATAATCGTGGATGTATTTAAAAATATATCTATGGTTCCATTGTGATATTATTTATCATTAGAACTAACTGAAATGATTACTCTAAAGTTGATTGGATCAAGTATGGCATATTAAAAAGTAATTCAATAAAAGGATATCAAAAACATGGGATAATATTTTCACAATATAGGGGTGTGTGTGTGTTTGAGACAGGGTGTGTGTGTGTGTGTGTGTGTGTGTGTGTGTGTGTGAGACAGCATCTTGCTCTGTCACCCTAGGCTGGAATACAGTGTGATCTCAGTGTAACCTCTGCTTCCCAAACTCAAGTGATCCTCCTGCCTCAGCCTCCCTATTACCTGGGACTACAGGTGCGCGCCACCACGCCCAGCTAATTTTGTGTATTTTTAGTAGAAACGGGTTTCACAGTGTTAGCCAGGATGGTCTTGATCTCCCGACTTCGTGATTCACCCTCCTCGGCCTCCCAGAGTGCTGAGATTACAGGCGTGAGTCACCACACCCGGCCCCTATTTTTTTTTTAACTAGAAAAAAGTATTTACTTATTTATTTATATATTTATTTATTTTTAAATGTATTTATTTTTTGGAGACAGGGTCTCACTCTGTTGCAGCCTAGAGCTCCTGGACTCAAGCAATCCTCTCACCCCAGCCTCCTGAGTAGCTGGGACTATAGGCGTGTGCTACCATGCCCAACTAATTTTTAGAGGTGAGGCCTCCCTGTGTTGCCCAGGCTGGTCTTGAACTCCTGAGCTCAAGGGATCCTCTTGCCTCGGCCTCCCAAGTGCTGGGATTACAGGCATGAGCCACTGTGCCCAGCCTAGAAAAAGTATTTAAATAGGTAAGATATATAATGGAAAACCAAAGTTGGTAACGTCACATGCCGCAGATTAAAATGTGTCTATTGGCACTGGCGACTTTAGCAAAAGCGATTTGAATGGAGTAGGGCTGAAAGTGAAGCCAGATGGCAATATGTTGTCATAAGTAAATTGGAAATGAGATAGTGATTTCACTCTAGATCAGCACTGTTCAATAAAGATTGAGCACATATGAATATATTTTACTTCGCTGAGTATCTCTAAAATATTTCACTATATGATTTATATAAAATCATCAGTGAAATATTTTACCTTGAAATATCTCGATTCAGACTAGTACTTAACTTCAAGTACTCAGTAGTAACCACAGATGGTTAGTATCGACCCTACTGCACAGGTAAAGACTCTGTGGACTGTCCTGTTTGTTGAGAAACTAATGACGAAAGAGTATGGCCACATGTGCGAATCCTCTAGTTATTTACAGTCCGGTATAGCCACAGAACCCTTCCCAATGCAACAGATTGCTTTAAAATGACATATCTTATGTCATTTAAAAAACATAAATCATAACATAATAAAGGTTCATAACTTCCTCCTTCCTTGGAAAATAGAATATCCTGTGACCCTCCCAGCTGAATTGTTAAATTGACATTTTCTTCTCTTTTTGCTTCCTCTAGGTTTTGGTAAGACTAGTCTGAATCGTAGAGGAAGAGTCATGCCTGGAAAGAGACGTCCTAATGGAGTTATCACTGGCCTCGCAGCTAGGAAAACAACTGGAATTCGAAAAGGAATTAGTCCTATGAATCGTCCACCTCTAAGTGACAAGGTAGGATGATGGCTTAATCCTGGATTAGATGTCCTTTTCCATTATTTGTACTAACATTTCTGTGAATAAGCTTAACAGAAAATTTTATTTGTTTTTATATAGTACTTTGGGACTGATATATCAAATTTAATATCTGAATAAAAATCACTGCCATTCATAAAGAATACCTAAATTTCCACATTCTCAAATATAAGTAAGTTTTTTGTTTGTTTTTTGTTTTTTATATGTAGATAGAGCCTTGCTCTGTTACCCAACTGGAGTGCAGTGACGTGATCTTGGCTCAGCCTTCTGAGTAGCTGGGATTACAGGTGTGTGCCACCATGCCTGGCTAATTTTTGTATTTTTAGTAGAGATGGGGTTTCACCATGTTGGCCAGGCTAGTCTTAAACTCCTGACCTCAAGTGATCTGCCCCCCTCTGCCTCCCAAAATGCTGGTATTACAGGCGTGAGCCACCATGCCTGGCCGAAAATTGAGGTTTTTTTGGGTGGGGATAGAGTCTCACTCTGTCGCCCAGGCTGGAGTGCAGTGGTGCAATCTTGGCTCACTGCAACCTCCGCCTCCTGGGTTCAGGAAATTCTCCTGCCTCAGCCTCCCGAGTAGCTGGGACTACATGTGTGTGCCACCATGACTGGCTAATTTTTGTATTTTTAGTAGAGATGGGGTTTCACCATGTTGGCCAGGCTGGTCTCAAACTCCTGACCTCGTGATCCACCTGCCTCAGCCTCCCAAAGTGCGGGGATTAAAGGCGTGAGCCGCCGTGCCTGACCAAATTAAGACTTTTTAATGTGAGTCAGTCAGTGGATATTTATGAAGTACTTCTCATATACTTAATAGAAGAATCCAGATAAAGTATAAGATAAGGTTCGTATTTGTCAAGAACTTTCGAGAAGTCTTTATGGACAATATGAATATCTGAATTAGGCTTTAATGGTGGATTTAATTTACATATATGGAGGAAGAAAAAGAGGGTGTTTCATGTGCTTTTGTTTTTTGTGGTACTTTTTGCCTCTGACCATGTCTATTCCAGCTCCTTTGCTGTCATGACTTCCCCGCTTTTTCTTGTTTTCGGCATTTGTTTTGGAACTTGGCTTTTTAAAATCTATTAGTATCAAAAATCATGTTTATATAAATTATTCCCTAATTTATATCTCTGGCCCTCTGATTCTTCTCTTGAGTTGCGGAGCCACAATTCCCCAGCACCTGTGGGTCCCGTGAGTACCTCACATATTTTAAGTATAATGTGGGGTTTTCGTCTTTCCAATCGCTTAGGCTGTAAATTTTCAAGCTGTTTCTCCATCTCCCTTATCTACACATTCAAGCTGTTGTCAATCCCTGTTCATTCTGCATCAGAAATGTTTATTGTAGTAGGGTATATAGAAAAATGCAATTTGATTAACATAGTTTCTTGCCTTCTGATAGAATATAGAACAATATTTTCCAGTGTTAAAAAGGAAGGCAAACCTTCTGAGACAAAATGAAGGGCAGAGGAAACCAGTGGCAGTTCTCAAGAGACCTAACCAGCTAAACAGAAAGTAAGTACTCAAATATGATGATGTGTTATTTTGCATTAAAAAACACTTCTTGCATTAAGTGGTGTGAAGAATAGATTTGCAGTGATTTTTTTAGTTATCTGGTCATTTTCAAGACAGATGTTTGGGATGTCTATCTGAGCATCCACATGGATGTATCCAGTAATAGCTCGTTTATTAGATGAATTCTTACTGATGAATTTAACCAATATCAGCTTTTTAAAAAGCATCACTCTGCTTCTTTACCTCTTTGACACATGGAATAAAATTGCAAAAGCTGATCACTTTAGTAGAACTCTCTCTCTTTTTTTTTTTTTCCTGTTTTTTGAGACAGGGTCTTCTCGCTCTATTGCTGAGGCTGGAGTGCAGTGGCGCCATCACTGCTCACTGGAGCCTCAACCCCCACCCGGACTCAAGTGATCCTCCCACATCAGCCTCCTGAGTAGATGGGACCACAGATACATGCCACCATGCCCTGCTAGTTGTTTTTTTTTTTTTTTTTTTTGGTAGAGACAGGGTCTCACCCTGTTGCCTAGGCTGGTCTCAATTCCGGGCCTCAAGTGATCCTCCCACCTCAGCCTCCTAAAGTGCTGGGATTACAGGCATGTGCCACTGTGCCCAGCCCTGGTAGAACTCTTAACATCTCAGTGGGAATTATTCAAAATTGGGAATTCTGAAAGCTCAATTTGTTACTCAGTCTGGATGGCCCTTACTAGAACACTGAATCACAATGTATGTTATTTGTGGAAAAATCAAACTAGAAAGGAGGAATTCTTGATGAACACTTGTTAAACTGAAATTATTTTTATACTAAGTTGAATAATAAAAACCAAAAATTATGGCCTGTGAGCTGGGCACAGTGGCATGTGCCTGTGGTCCCAGCTACTTAAGAGGCTGAGGCAGAAGGATCACATGAGCCCAGGATTCAGGGCTAACCTGGGCAACATAGTGAGACCCCCATCTCTGAAAAAAAAAGAAAAATTATGATCTGTTGTTACGGCATTCTGTTCTCTGTAAGGACAAAGTAGATGAAGTTAATGAGGTGTGAAGTTTCCTTATTCGGTTTCAAGTACTATTTATTTATCTCTCGTGGAAGATTATTCAGCAAACAAAACCTGGAATGGAGTTTTTTAAAAATGCAGTGGCTGGGCACAGTGGCTCATGCTTGTATTCGCAGCACTTTGGGAGGCCATGGCATGTAGATCACCTGAGGCCAGGAGTTCGAGACCAGCCTGGCCAACATGGTGAAATCCCATCTCTACTAAAAATATAAAAATTAGCTGGACATGGTGGTGCATGCCTGTAGTTCCAGCTATTTGGGAGGCTGAGGCAGGAGAATCGCTTAAACCTGGGAGGCAGAGATTGCGGTGAGTCAAGATCGTGCCACTGCACTCCAGCCTGGGTAACAGTGAAACTGTCTAAAACAAAATAAAAAATAAAAAACAAAACAAAAAATGTAATGGCTGGAATTGCAGTTTTAACCATCATCTTTTGGGAATCACTTGATAATAAGGTACCTTCTCAAATAAGAACCCATCATTTACATGAGACTTACATGTTAATTGGGTTAGCTAGGGAAATTTTGAACTTGAATCTCTGAAAGATTGGAGGTAAGACTAAGGAATCTAATGAACACTTGTTTGTATAGTGTTTCATATTCATCAATAGATCAGTTGAAGACATGGAATATTAGAGGATTGAATATTGCATAAATATGAAATTTTAATTTTTCATACTTCACCAACTTCCTGTAGAAAACAAGAAATTAGGTGCAGCAAACCACCATGGCGCATATACACCTACGTAAGAAACCTGCGTGTTCAGCATGTGTCTCGGAACTTAAAGTAAAATTAAAAAAAGAAAAAAGAATTGGTGAAAGTCAAACATAATTAACAGCATTGTTCTGTGCATGAAAGAACAAGAAACAGAAGAGTATAAGTTTTTCTGTGGTTTATTTATTTTTTGAGATGAAGTCTGTCGCTGGGCTGGAGTGCAGTGGCGTGATCTCGGCCCACTGCACCTCTGCTTCCCTGATTCAAGCAATTCTCATGCTTCAGCCTCCTGAGTAGCTGGGACTACAGGCGCGTGCCACCAAGGCTGGCTAGCTTTTGTGTTTTTAGTAGAGACAGGATTTCACCATGTTGCCCAGGCTGGTCTCGAACTCCTGACCTCAAGTGATCCACTCACCTCAACCTTCCAAAATGCTGGGATTACAGGTGTGAGCCATAATGCCTGGCCTTTATGGTTTATGTTAATACATAACAGTTTCTGAGTGAGGAAGGAAGAGAAAGCTGGAGGAGGAGATGTTATTTTTCAAACCTTTGTCTTTATTTTTGGTCTTCAGTTTATTTTAGGTCTTCAGTTTGGCCTATGTGTAGTTTTTCTTTGTACTAATCCTGTAAATTGTGAAGTTACGTTTTCACCAGATATAGGAAATAGCACTAAAAATGTGATTATTATTGTCTTCAGAAGATATATGAAATGTTAGAGGATTGAATATTTGGACGATAAAGTGGTTCGAAATTAACAGGTGGTTTATGTGCTGTGCTTCGGAGGGAGGTATTTGTTAATCAAATCTCAATAGCTTCATGTTAATAAGGAAATAATTCAGAGTTGTTTGTTACTTGCACCTCATGTTTTCAGCCTATGAATTTAACTATTTTTGCTTATTTTTCCTCAAGACGTTTGAAAGTAGTTAAATGGCTTAGCATGGCATATGTGTTTTTGTTGCAGAAATAACATTCCAGCTAATTTTACCAGGAGTGGAAATAAATTAAATCATCAGAAAGATACTCGTCAGGCAACTTTTCTTTTCAGAAGAGGCCTGAAGGTATTTAAAAACTGTGGCAGTGTTTTTTTGTTTTGTTTTGTTTTGTTTTGTTTTTTTTAACCCAAAGAGGATCCTGAGCAGCCACCTTCAGTAAAAGCCTCAGTCACAGGCAGCATTGGGTTCAGGATATGAGGAGCATGGCAGTAGATTAGTTCTTTCTGTTGTACGTTTTTTATTTCCTGTCCTTACCCTCAATAGCAATGTCTTATAATAATTTACCATGTTATTTGGGAATAAACCTGTGTTTGCCACTTGTTCTGATACAGGAATTCCGACAGGGAAGTGTTGCCAGAATAGCACAGGCCTCTCTGCATTCATGCACACGCCCCACTGCATTATAAGGTTCTAGAGCAGGATCGCTCTTTGGATTCAATCCTCTGCTTTCTGTGGGACCTACTGCTTTTTTTTTTCTCTTCAGGTTCAGGCCCAGTTGAATACAGAACAACTGCTAGACGATGTAGTAGCAAAGAGAACTCGTCAGTAAGTTTCCATTTGTTTTTCAAGATGTTATTTCAAAACTCCCAGAATACTGACTACCCAAATTATCATGTGCCTCAGTCCAGAAGAAATTAATTGAAACCCAAAATAAAATAGAGCCTGAAAGCCGGGCATAGTGGCGCTACACACCTGTAGTCCCAGCTAGTTGGGGAGACTGAAGCAAGAGAATTGCTCGAGCCCAGGAGTTCAAGGCTGTGAAGTGCCATGATCTCACCTGTGCATCGCCACTGCACACCGGCCTGAGCAGCATAGCTCGGGCTATGGAGACTGTCTCCAAAAAAAATTTTTTAAATTGAACCTAAAATAAATAAATCCTGTTTTGTCCTTTGTTAATTTTCGCCAAAAATCCTTTTGAGTTTTCACATGTCGATATTGTAACAGTTTTAGTGCCAAGTAGATTACTTGTTTTTTATTATTTTTATTTTTTATTGGCTATTCCATTTTAATGAAACAGCTTTTTTTTTCTTTCTTTCTTTTTTGGCTATAACTGCTTTCATACAAATGAACCTATTTAGGGAACGAATAGAATAAAGTTCAGTACAACTTTTAGAAAATTTGTACAACTTTAAAAACAATAGTTTTCCTTTTCACAGTCTTTTTTTCTTAGCCCTATAAAAAAAATTTTGAAAATCTATTTTATCCTGTTATAATCACACCTCCTGAGTGTGAGTTGTAACATACTAATTCCATCAGTGTGATTAGGTTTTGAGATTAACTGTTTAAAATTACGGCTACTTTTTGGAAAACAAAATAGATACAGTTGGCCTTCTGTGTCTCAGGGGAATTGGTTCCAGGACCATTGAAGAGATTAAAATCCTCAGATCCTCAAGTCCCTTACAATGGGCCCTCCATATCCATGGATTGTTTTCAGTCTGTGGTTGAAATTGATTGAATACATGGATGTAGAGCCTGTGGATACAGAGAGCTGGCTATAAAACATGGTCATGGTCCAGATATGATGCAAACTATGGGGCATGATTTTTAGCAATTGGAGTGTTAGGAAACTGTGAAACAGATACTGGTAGTATTCTTTAGCACAGGGGTCATGACATTAGAAACCATGGGGAAGGAAAGAATAATCGTAGCGGTTTTGCTTCTGCAGTGAACAATATTTACATAATCATGATCATATATAAATGTTACTTGTTTTGAACTTTGAGAATCAACCTGTTAGACAAAGCACAACATAGTTAATTTGAGAACAGAATGTAATGTAAGTGTCCGATTTTGACTCGTGAATATAAAGGAAGAGCTGACAGAAAGTGAGAGGCACAAACAAAGGGGCAGAGGTGGAAGGAAGGAACAGAGGCACTGAGGTCCTTTCCCACAGAGCTGGGGGCGGGGTCAAGTGATTCTGCTGAAGGAAACAGAGATTTAAGTATTTTAAGTTACAAAGGCAGGGAAGTAGTGACGTAGCCATCAAAATGTTTCAAGGTAGGTAAGGAAACTGGAGGATAGTTTGATGAACTAAATCTATTCATCATAGCAAGTTTTTTTTTTGAGATGGAGTCTCGCTCTGTTGCCCAGAATGCACAATGGCGCAATCTCGGTTCACTGCAGCCTCCCCCTCCTGGGTTCAAGCAGTTCTGTGCCTCAGCCTCCCAAGTAGCTGGGATTACAGGTGCCCGCCACCATGCCCAGCTTAATTTTGTATTTTTTTTTTAAGTAGAGATGGGGTTTCACTGTCTTGGCCAGGCTGGTCTTGAACTTCTGACCTCATGATGCACCTGCCTCGGCCTCCCAAAGTGCTGGGATTACAGGTGTAAGCCACTGTGCCCGGCTGCAGCAAGGTTTTATACTACATAAGCATCTTGTTTAGTGAATTGGAAGTAACCAGCAAGCAGTAAAAACAAAGGTTAGAAGTGCTGCCTGTGGAGAGTAGGAATGGAAAGCAGGAGAATAGTGGGGTGAGGGACTGTTGCTTTTTTTTTTTTTTGAGACGGAGTCTCGCTCTGTCGCCCAGGCTGGAGTGCAGTGGCGCGATCTCGGCTCACTGCAAGCTCCGCCTCCCGGGTTCACGCCATTCTCCTGCCTCAGCCTCCCGAGTAGCTGGGACTACAGGCGCCCACAACCGCGCCCGGCTAATTTTTTGTATTTTTAGTAGAGACGGGGTTTCACCGTGGTCTCGATCTCCTGACCTTGTGATCCGCCCGCCTCGGCCTCCCAAAGTGCTGGGATTACAGGCGTGAGCCACTGCGCCCGGCCCGGGACTGTTGCTTTTTATTAGAAGTTCTTTTGTACTATTTGATTTTTTAAAATTTGTATATATTTATCACACTGATAAATGTTTAATAAATTCAGATGCCCAGTTCTGCACCCAAGGTGTTGATTCATTATGTCATGGTGGGGTTTAGGTATTTATTTCTTGCAAGCTAAGAAAAAGTAATGGCTGCTTTTATTTTTATTTTTATTTTTATTTATTTATTTTTTTGGAGACGGAGTCTCTCTGTCGCCCAGGCTGGAATGCAGTGGCCGGATCTCAGCTCACTGCAAGCTCCGCCTCCCGGGTTTACGCCATTCTCCTGCCTCAGCCTCCCGAGTAGCTGGGACTACAGGCGCCCGCCACCTCGCCCGGCTAGTTTTTTGTATTTTTTTAGTAGAGACGGGGTTTCACCGTGTTAGCCAGGATGGTCTCGATCTCCTGACCTCGTGATCCGCCCATCTCGGCCTCCCAAAGTGCTGGGATTACAGGCTTGAGCCACCGCGCCCGGCCATGGCTGCTTTTAAAATGTTTATTTTTATTTTGAATATACATAGGGTTTATCAACTTACATTTAGTGAATTTTATTTTTTTTTGATACTAGATGGCGGACTTCCACCACAAATGGAGGGATTTTGACTGTATCTATTGACAATCCTGGAGCAGTTCAATGCCCAGTGTAAGTTGTTTCTTTCTTTTTGCAAAAATTATAACCTCTCATTACACAAGATCATAAGAAAGTATTAGACTTCTGCCCAGAGAATGATGTCCAAGTGAGGATAAACCAGGCAGAAGTAATGCCTGTGATACAATATGGAAACAGTGTCATGTAAAGTTAAAAGGAAGAGTTTTCTGGATTCCTGATTCTGCAGCCCTAAATGACCATGTTGAACAGTGTTTTTTAATATTTTAAAAATTATGTGCATGTATATCATATGTACCCTCTTTTGGGGGCAAAGTCTGGCTCTGTTACCCAGGCTGGAGTATAGTGCCATGATCATGGCTTATTGCAGCCTTGACCTCCCAAGCTCAAGCAATCCTCCTGCCTCAGCCTCCCCAGTCCTGAGTAGCTGGGACTGCAGGTGCCACCACCATGAGTCCTGAGTAGCTGGGGCTGCAGGTGCCACCACCACACCTGGCTTTTTTGTTTGTTTGTGCCCAGACTGGTCTTGAACTCCTAGACTCAAGCAGTCCTCTCACCTTGGCCTCCCGAAGTGCTGAGGTTACAGGCGAGAGCCCTGCACCTGACCCAATATGTGTATTTTTATGTACAATAATAAACGAGATGACAGTATACATGCTACTTCTTCCCCCAATGCCTGTAATATTTTTGATGTCTTTATTTTTCAGACCATACAGACCTACCTTCTCTTTAAATTTATTGCTTTATAAACGTTGTCGATTTATGGAGCTTATGTTCTATTCAAGCATCTCTTTGATTTTTTTAAGAGATAAGGTCTACTCTGATGACCAGGCTGGAGTGCAGTGGTGCCATCATATCTCACTGCTGCCTCGAACTCCTGGGCTTCAATAATTCTCCTGCCTCAGCCTCCGAGTAGCTGGGAACATAGGCATGCACCACCACACCCAGCTAATTTTATTTTATTTATTTTATAATTTTTTTTGTAGAGGTGGGGTCTTGCTATGTTCCTTAGGCTGATCTCTAACCCCTGGCCTCAAGCGATCCTCCTGCCTTGGCCTCCCAAAGTACCAGGATTATAGGCCTGAGCCACAGTGCGTAGCCATCCAGCCATCTTAATGATTGAAATGAAAAGAGTGTAGGATGGGTGCCTAGGACTTTAGAGGTTGCTTTATTTTAATGGAAGATCAAGAGTTAGGAATCACCAAACATTCCAACTTGTTGAAAAGTTTGTAGTTCTATTTAAAGAGGTATTCTCTGAACAATGATATATTTTAGTCTAGAGTAGCCAATGACACCGTTTTTTTGAAAACACAAATAAAATGGCCCTAATACATTTGAACATGTGTACAGGATGTCTTAAGTACCAAATTAATTTATTTTTCCTTTCATTGTTAAGCTGCTCTGATACTTTAATATTTTTCTAATAGAACTCAGAAACCACGATTAACTCGCACTGCTGCACCTTCATTTTTAACAAAGCGGGAGCAAAGTGACGCCCGGAAAGTTCCTAAAGGTGTTCCCCTACAGTTTGACATAAACAGCGTCGGAAAACAGGTAAAAAACATTTTCTGTATTTTCTTGGGTCATCTGCTGAGAATATTTTAATTAACAAAACATTTATTATAATCGTGAATTATAAACAAGGTATCCTAACTGCCCCCTGAAACCTAGGGAACCACTAACCCACTTCTGTCTGCCAGTTTGCCTATTTTGACATTTCATATAAATCAGATCATACAGTATATATTTGTGACTGAATTGTTTCACTTAGCATAATGTTTTCAAGGTTCATCTATATTGTGTCCGTATTTAATTTTGTTTTCCTGCTGAACAGTGTTCATCATATGTATATACCACATCTTATTTATTCCTTCGTTACTGGATGGGTATTTGGGTGTTTTCACTCCTCGGACACTATGAATAATCCTACTCTGAGCATTTGCGCAGAAGTTTTTGTGTGAGCATCTGTTTTCATTTCTCCCTGGTAAATACCTAGGAGTAGAATTGCTAGGTTTATAGTAACTCTTTTTTTGTTTGTTTGTTTGTTTGTTTTTGAGACGGAGTCTCGCTCTGTCGCCCAGGCTGGAGTGCAGTGGCCGGATCTCAGCTCACTGCAAGTTCCACCTCCCGGGTTCACGGCATTCTCCTGCCTCAGCCTCCCAAGTAGCTGGGTCCACAGGCGCCCGCCACCTCACCCGGCTAGATTTTTTTTTGTATTTTTAGTAGAGACGGGGTTTCACCATGTTAGCCAGGCTGGTCTCGATCTCCTGACCTTGTGATCTGCCCGTCTCGGCCTCCCAAAGTGCTGGGATTACAGGCTTGAGCCACCGCGCCCGGCCGGTTTATAGTAACTCTTTATCTAATCTTTTGAGGAACTGCTGGACTGTTTTCCTTAGAAGAGTCTGTGCTACAACTTTATATTCCCGCCAGCGTCTATGAGGGTTCTGAATTTCTCTATATCCTCACCAATACTCACTGTTATCTGCTGTTTGACTATAGCCATCTAGCAAGATTACAGGATACAAGGATAATAACAAATTGTCAAAACCGACCAGGCGCGGTGGCTCACGCCTGTGTTCCCAGCACTTTGGGAGGCCGAGGTGGGCAGATCACCTAAAGTCAGGAGTTCGAGACCAGCCTGGCCAACATGGTGAAATCCTGTCTCTACTAAAAATACAAAAATTAGCCTGGTGTGGTGGCAGGTGCCTGTCATCCCAGCTACTAGGGAGGCTGAGGCAGGAGAATTGCTTGAACCCAGGGGGCAGAGATGGCAGTGAGCTGAGATCGTGCCACTCACTCCAGCCTGGGCAGCAGAGCAATACTCATCTCCAAAAAAAAAAAAAGTCAAAAAGCACATTGACAATTTTGTATTAACCATATTAACCTTGTATCCTGTAATCTTGCTAAATTCACTTACTTTTGTATTGACTTTGTAGATTCCTTAGGACTTTTTTTTTTTTTTTTGAAACAGGGTCTCGCTCTGCCACCAAGACTGGAATGCAGTGGCATAATCATAGCTCACTGTAGCCTTGACTTCCCAGGCTCAAACGATCCTTCCTCCCACCTCAGCCTCCTGGGTAGCTGGGGATACAGGCACACACCACCACACCTGGGGATGCAGGCACACACCACCACGCCTGGGGATGCAGGGACACACCACCACGCCTGGGGATGCAGGCACACACCACCACGCCTGGGGATGCAGGCACACACCACCACGCCTGGGGATGCAGGCACACACCACCACGCCTGGGGATGCAGGCACACACCACCACGCCTGGGGATACAGGCGCACACACCACCATGCCTGGGGATACAGGCGCACACACCACCACACCTGGGGAGGGCACACACCACCACACATGGGGATACAGGGACACACACCATGCCTGGGGATGCAGGCACACACCACCAGGCCTGGGGATACAGGCACACACCACACCTGGGGATGCAGCCACACACCACCACACCTGGGGATACAGGCACACACCACCACGCCTGGGGATACAGGCACACACCACACCTGGGGATGCAGCCACACACCACCACACCTGGGGATACAGGCACACACCACCACGCCTGGGGATGCAGGCACACACCACCACGCCTGGGGATGCAGGCACACACCACCACGCCTGGGGATGCAGGCACACACCACCACGCCTGGGGATACAGGGACACACACCACGCCTGGGGATGCAGGCACACACCACCACGCCTGGGGATGCAGGCACACACCACCACGCCTGGGGATGCAGGCACACACCACCACGCCTGGGGATGCAGGCGCACACACCACCGCGCCTGGGGATGCAGGCGCACACACCACCGCGCCTGGGGATTCAGGCGCACACACCACCACACCTGGGGAGGGCACACATCACCACACATGGGGATACAGGGACACACACCATGCCTGGGGATGCAGGCACACACCACCAGGCCTGGGGATACAGGCGCACACCACGCCTGGGGATGCAGGCACACACCACCACACCTGGGGATACAGGGACACACACCATGCCTGGGGATGCAGGCACACACCACCAGGCCTGGGGATGCAGGCACACACCACCACGCCTGGGGATACAGGCACACACCACACCTGGGGATGCAGCCACACACCACCACGCCTGGGGATACAGGCACACACCACCACGCCTGGGGATACAGGCACACACCACCACGCCTGGGGATACAGGCACACACCACCACGCCTGGGGATACAGGCACACACCACCACACCTGGGGATACAGGCACACACCACCACGCTTGGGGATACAGGCACACACCACCACGCCTGGGGATGCAGGCACACACACCACACTTGGCTAATTTTTATATTTTTTGTGGAGACAGGATTTCAGATAGGGTTTCACTACATTTCCCAGGCTGGTCTTGAACGCCTAAGCTCAAGCCATCTGCCTGCCTTCTGTGGCTGCCCAGCTTGGGATTTTCTGTGTAAACAATCGTTTCATTCTCCTAATTCATTTCCAATCTTTAAACCTTTTCTTGCTTTGTTACAATGGCTAGGACCTCCAGTCCAATGTTGAGTAGAAGTGGTTAAGATGTATACTTGTATGCGTGCCTTGTTCCAAAGCCTGATGAGAAGGCAATAGATATGTCACCATTTAGTATGATATTAGCCGTATATATATATATATATTTTTTTTTTCTTCTTCTTTTTTGAGATGGAGTCTTGCTCTGTCGCCCAGGCTGGAGTGCAGTGGCGTGATCTTGGCTGACTGCAACCTCTGCCTCCTGGGTTCAAGCAATTATCCTGCCTCAGTCTCCCGAGTAGCTGAGATTACAGGCATGCGCCACCACACCCGGCTAAGTTTTTTGTATTTTTAGTAGAGACAGGGTTTCACCATACTGGCCTGGCTGGCCTCGAACTCCTGACCTTTTGATCCGCCTGCCTCAGGCTCCCAAAGTGCTGGGATTACGGGAATGAGCCACCATGCCTGGCCCAGTTTCTTTTTTTCTTTTCTTTTTTTTTTTTTTTTTTTAATAGATTCTCTTTGTCAGATTGAGGAAACTTCCTTCTATTCCCGATATGCTGAGAATTTTTATCATGAATAGGTATTCGATTTTGTCAGATGGTTTTTTGGTATTCCTTGAAATAATGTGAAATTGAAGATACGAAGGATGGATAGAAATTTCACCAAATTGGCCTGGTGCGCTGGCTCACACCTGTAATCCCAGCACTTTGGGAGGCCAACATGGGTGGATCACTTGGGGTCAGGAGTTTGAGACCAGCCTGGTCAACATGGAAAATCCCCGTCTGTACTAAAAATAAAACATATTAGCTGGGTGTGGTGGCACGTGCCTGTAATCCCAGCTACTCGGGAGGCTGAGGTGGGAGAACTGCTTGAACCCAGGAGGTGGAGGTTGCAATGACCTGAGATTGCACCACTACACTCCAGCCTGGGTGACAGACAGACTCTCTCAATAAAAAAATAAGAAAAAAAAAATTTGACCAAATTTGTTTTGCTTATTTTTATTTTGTTACTATTATTTTTTCCAGAAATGGTATAGTTTATAGATGCCGTTGTTAATTAAAAAAACAGATTTTCATTTGCATTTGAATTTCTGTGTTGAACTCACCGTAATCCAAGAGAATTTGCTATAAAATATTTACAGGTCTGAAGAGTTATTTTATCAGTGACATCATGAGTTGGTGGCAGTGTTTACAGAGCCTGAAAATAATTCAGATAGGGGCTTTGGGTGTATGACTTCTAGGCATTATAGCATATGTGTGTTTTATATAGTATATAATGTAGGCTTTATATGAGGTCATACACATAATAGTAAAATGTTAGTTGTCGTTACTTTTAATTAATCATAAGATCACATTATTGTTCCAAAGCAAATATGGCTTTCAGTAAAATTGTTAATTGTTGCTTTGTTGTTGTTTTTGTTTTTTTCTTTTCTCTAGACAGGGATGACGTTGAACGAGCGGTTTGGGATCCTGAAGGAACAAAGAGCCACTCTCACATACAACAAAGGGGGAAGCCGCTTTGTAACCGTGGGATAGGTCCCATGTCAAAGGAACTTTTGAGAGATGACTCTGAAAAGTTGAATTGCTTGAAGAGTTCATCACAGAAATTCAAGAAACTTTACTTCAAAATATTCACAAGGCTAAATAACTCTTATTTTTATTTTTGAAGTTTTTTTTTTTAACGTATAAAATAATGCCCTGAAAGAATAATAGGGATTATACCTATCTGTTCTTGAAGATTTCATGGTTGGCTCAGACAGAACAATCATCTGTTTGACTTCTTTGGTTCCTCATGCAGCAGAAGGAAGACAGAAAGATAGAAATTGATTTTTTTATGATAGTGGTATTCAGGATCTCATCACCTTTGCCCATATTTTAGACTTCGTCATGGTAAATCTTGGTCTTCAGAAACATGAGTAGGTCCCTTTGTTGCTGTCACTTACCCTTTAATAGTGTTGATGTAGTCAGTACAGTTGCCTTTTCTTCATTAGAGATACAAAAAAAATGTATTAGAATTCCAGTTTTGGGTTTTAAGATTTATGGGAATATCTAGAACTTGGTTCATTTTTCAGACAGTGTAATCCCCTGGAATTATACAGCTTTAGTGCTGAACTTTTAACAAGAAATGTGACTCTAGGTACTAGTCTCAGTTTAAAATGTTGGTGTTAAAGGCTATAAATGCATATTTACAAGGTTATCTGATAGGGCCTTGGAGGAGAAGATCCAGTTTTTAAAAAATGACAGTTTGTGTTTAATAAACGAAGGCATGAGAGGAAGTAAGTAGCAAGTTGAAGGACAGGTAGTTGAGATGAAAAACTTCAAAACCCAGTATAGGTGTACTGTTTGGATTTAGCATAGTCTTGAGTCTAGTGTCCACAAAGTATTCAAATGATATTTAGAAGAATTATAACTATTACATTGAATTGAGTCCCTTGGATATTTTGATAGTAAAATTAATAGCCATAAAGTCTTAGACTTCTTATTTGAAGTTAACATTTCTTATTTGAAAAGTTGAAATTTATGAGCTTTGAAGATTGCAAAATTAAATAATTTATAGCTCCAAAAACAAAAATATACTTGTATATGTCACAGAAAAAATGCAAAATTTATAATAGAGTTACATTAACCTTGTTGTTTACCTTTCACTGATTTCTTACATGGTATAAATTAAAGTTCAGGCATTTATGGGGAGCAAAGGCCCTCCCCCACCACCCCGCCACCTGCCACCTCTGAGGGAGTGGGAGAAGTGAGTCTGTGCCAAGATAGTACTGAGTCCTCAGATGTTGTATACTGTAAATTACGGTATAATGCCAAATGCAGCAAAATCTTCCAGCTATACCTTACAAGTTTGGTCATTTTGAAGCTTGACGTTTTAGTTTGCCATTATGTTAAAAACATCTAAATAGGTGTTAGTTTCTCAGGAGTAGATTGTTAGTGTTGACTTTTCCTGTAAAACAAACATCGTTCTTGGCCTGCCTTGCATTGTATACTAGACTTCATTGTTGCCTCTCATGCTTCTTGAGTTACTTAATGATTTATGCTAGCCATGGAAAGCTATCAGTAACAGTTTTCACGCTTATACCAAAGAATTAAATCTGATCCTTAATATCTGATATTTTGCTGGTATTTGTACTGATAAGTGATTATTGGAAGTCAGTCACAGAATTTGAAAATAAATTCTAGTCTCTCCTTAGCTATTTGATGCTTTTCATATAGGCCAAGAACCCATTGCAAAACATTTTTGCAAGTATGAATGCCTGTATTTGGTCTAGGAACAGTACATTTTAGTCTGATTTAGAATTACTGGTAGCTTATTTTAAAGCAAGGAAAAGCAGCTGAGCTCGAGTTTGCTGTCTTTAGAACGGTTTGTGAAAATATGGTATAAAAGTGTTTTCATTTTCCTGTTCTTACCTATTGTATAGAGCTATTAATGCCATTTTTTGGGAAAACCTTAAAAATTGCCCCAAATACTGACATTGAGTGCATCAAATAACAAATTGTCTTTGGTATATTAAACTTTTATTCTTCATGCATCTGTAATTTAATTTTAAGTATAATGTTTTGCCTTTGGTACAACTAAATTAAAACTCTTGGTGGTCACATGTATATAAACAAAACAATATGCTTTGTTGAAGGAAAATTTTCTTTATTGGAATGTGGTTGTAATCCTTGTTCAGTTCTTAAGTTTTGGTTTTTTTAAAAAACAGGATGCAACTTAAAATTTTCTTTGCATCAAGGTATATGCAAAACATTGATGCAGTGCATCACAAAACGGAAGTTTGTATTTAATGAGGAGGTGCTTTACACTGTACTTTTTGGTGTTTTTTGGAAAAGTTACATTTAGATCTATTCTGAAGCTGTTCATTTTTAACAAATAAAATGTTACAGGTTTCACATGATTTATTCTTAGCTCTAAAGATTGAGTTGTGGTTTTTAGATTATTCTATGTTATGAAGAACTTTGTAGTGGTTATTTGTAGTTTTTAGGGTGTGAAACGTTATCTACTAGCAAAATTGGTAACTCACTCTAGTCTCTCCTATTAGCATCCGTCTCTCTTTTGATGATTTCATTTGTAGCTCCAACAAATGAATCTAAAAAATAGAATCCAGGCTGGGTAGGGTGGCTCATGCCTGTAATCCCAGAACTTTGGGAGGCCAAGGCAGGTAGATCACGAAGTCAGGAGCAAGACCAGCTGGCCAACACAGTGAAACCCTATCTTTACTAAAAATACAAACATCAGCCAGGTGTGGTGGCATGTGCCTGTGGTACCAGCTACTTAGGAGGCTGAGGCGGGAGTTTTGCTTGAACCCAGGAAGCAGAGATTGCAGTGAGCCGAGACCATGCCATTGCACTCCAGCCTGGGTGACAGAGTGAGACTCTGTCTCAAAAAAAAAAAAAAGAAAAGAATCCAATATACTTTGCAATGCAGAATACTGGATTACCGCTCCTTTTACATCTTAATAAAGTGAGTGCCAGTGTTTTTAAGAGTTGCGTGTGGCAGAGTTATTTTTTGAGCTCAGATCTTCTAATTCTTAATTGATAATAAACTGCTTCTGTGAATTGAACACCCACAGAAAATAGTGGAATGGTGTATGGTTTTCAAATACCTAAGAATTGGTAATAGCCATGTTTTAGCATTTTTAGCATGGTAAGTAAATATATTCTACCAGTGATGATTATACTTTATTACTTTGTTATTCAAGTTAGGTAGGCCTGTTAGAAAAGTCCAGTATTCCTAATCAGATACGCAGTTTTTAAAAGCAGGCATAAACTCTTCACCACAATTTTAATTACAGTTGTCCCTCAGTATACATGGGGGATTGGTTCCAGGACCCTTGTATATACCCAACCCTGCACAATACTGAAGTCCACCTGTGTATACGAAAAGTTGGCCCACTGTGTACATGGATTTTGCATTCCAAGATTTTTTTTGGTTCAAAACAATTTGCTTGTGAGTAGAACCAAGTAATTCAAAGCCACGTTGTTCAAGGGGTCAACTGTTTAAGCCAATCATAAAATACTATGTCTGAGGAAACAAGCTTCAATCCTCAGTGGCTAGTTTTTATTAGAATAGGTGTGTATATCTAATTATTAATATTTTGCTGTTAATAGCTTTGTAATTCACACAAAATATACAGGCCCAGAGTAATTTTTGTTGATTTATTTTTACTACAAAGAGATTAGAGAAAAAATAACTCACTTGGCAGTAGAGAAAATGAATACCATATTGGTAATATTAAAGCAGAAAATAATTCATTTCTGATCAGTAGTGCTTTCAGTTTTCATCAGAATTATTATTTTTTTCTTGCCACTGTGAAAAAGCAGTTAAGCATGTAAAGCTTCCTTTAGAGAGGGTTCTTTTTGGATAGATCAATTTGGAACTAGCTTCTTTTTTTAAAAAAATGATACTTCAATCAACAGCATTTACTACAAGAATTGTGGACTATGGTGGACCATTAATAGGGATTTAAAGTTTTACTTAGAACTTGTAGACTTCTGATATCTTTTATTTCCCTTCTCACTACAGTTTTATTTTATTTTTTGAGATGGAGTTTCGCTCTTGTTGCCCAGGTTGGAGTGCAATGGTGCGATCTCAGCTCACCCCAACCTCTGTCTCCTGGGTTCAAGCGATTCTCCTGCCTCAGCCTCCCGAGTGGCTGGGACTACAGGTGCCCACCACCACGACCTGTTAATTTTGCATTTTTAGTAGAGATGGGGTTTCTCCATGTTGGCCAGGCTGGTCTCAAACTCCTGACTTCAGGTGGTCCGCCTGCCTGGGCCAAAGTGCTGGGATTACAGGCGGGAGCCACCGCACCCGGCCTACAGCTTATTTTCTACCTATGTTTAATAGGAAGCTTGATAACACAAGCAAATGTGATGCCATTCTGGGACTGAAATGTCTTCTTCTGAGTGTATTCAGATGAGATGTACCAGTGTTTAAAGGTTAGTTGGAAGCTATTCTCCTCGTGTGCATGTGTAATTTCTACTTACTCCATTTCCTTTTAATGAGAAAAGACTCATGTTGTCTGAATTTTCCTGTATAAAGATTTTGTTTTTGTTTTTGTTTTTGTTTGTTTGTTTTTCTGTCACCCAGGCTGGAGTGCAGTGGCTGGATCTCAGCTCACTGCAAGCTCCGCCTCCTGGGTTTGCGCCATTCTCCTGCCTCAGCCTCCCGAGTAGCTGGGACTACAGGCGCCCGCCACCTCGCCCGGCTATTTTTTTGTATTTTTTAGTAGAGACGGGGTTTCACTGTGTTAGCCAGGATGGTCTCGATCTCCTGACCTCGTGATCCGCCCATCTCGGCCTCCCAAAGTGCTGGGATTACAGGCTTGAGCCACCGAGCCCGGCCTAAAGTTTTAAAAAGTCAATTATTAGGACTTCTTTTTAAAGGAGTAAGCAATGGAAGGATCAAACATTTATTAAATATATTCAGCAAATATATAAATGTATTCAGCAAGGAAGAGAATGGGATTTACCTCAATCCTATTCATACTGCTTTGAGTTTATAAAAGTGGAGTTTTTTTATTTTTTGAGATGGAATCTTACTGTCACCCAGGCTGCAGTGCAGTGGCACGATCTCGGCTCACTGCAACTTCTGCCTCCCAGGATCCTCCCCGGGTTCAAGCGATTCTTGTCCCTCAGCCTCCTGAGTAGGTGGGATTACAAGCTTGAGCCGTCACGCCCAACTAATTTTTGTTTTTAGTAGAAATGAGGTTTCACCATGTTGGCCAGGCTGGTCTCCTACCCTCAGGAGATCTGCCCACTTCAGCCTCCCAAAGTGCTGGGATTACAGGTGTGAGCCACTGTGCCTGCCCTAAAAGTGGAGTCTTTTTTTTTTGGAGACAGTCTTCCTGTGTTGCCCAGGCTGGGGTGCAGTAGTGATCCTTGGCTCACTGCAGCCTCTGCCACCTGGGTTCAAGCGATTCTCCTGTCTCAACCACCCAAGTAGCTGGGATTAGAGGCACGTGCCACCACGCCCAGCTAATTTTTGTATTTTTAGTAGAGACGAGGTTTCACCATGTTGGCCAGACTGGTCTCAAACGCCTGACCTCAGGTGATCCGCCCGCCTCTGACTCCCAAACTGCTGGGATTACAGGCACGAGCCACGGAGCCCGGCCCAGAAGTGGGGTCTTAGAAGGAGTGGCCGTGATAAATTTCTAGTGAGTAGAAGAGGGAAGGGAGGACATAACCTTTGCATGGTATAGTGTAGCGCAGAGCTGGAAAGATTAAGATTTTAGTGAAACTTTTTGAATGAGTTAACTTTCAGTCTGTAAAATAAACAGGAAGAAGCTGGGAAGTACACTGTATCAATTGCTTACACTGAATAACCTGCGCTGCCTGTTTTTTCAGCTTCTGCTCCCAGACCACAGACCAGTGATGGAAGAAGTTACAGATCCCTATAAACCACTTTGCTCCTGGCCTTTGTGCCACTATCTTTCATCATTTCTTTTATTCATCAGTAGACTCTTTGGTGAACTCCCCACAAAGACTCCATTTCCATTTCCGGTTTCTCTTTCTCATAAGACGCTGTCACCTACTTTGTGGAGATGATGGAGGGAGTAGGGTAAGAATTCCCTCATAGTCTACCCTTACTTGGCAGCTGAAGCCTCAAATCCTTAGAAGTTGCAACGTTAACTGCTCTATCTTGCCTCCCATCCTTCCTTTACCTAGAACTTGTTCTCATATAATAGTATATATAACATCTTCAGTTTCCCCCGTATGCGCAGGTGTTTCTTTTGGCTTTTAAATATCTACATTTCTTTTTTCTTTTTCTTCTTTGAGACAGAGTCTTGCTGTGTTACCCAGGCTGGAGTGCAGTGGTGTGATCTCGGCTCACTGCAGCCTCCGCCTCCCGGGTTCAAGCACTTGTGCCTCAGCCTCCCAAGTAACTGGGGTTACAGGTACCTGCCACCATGCCCAGCTAACTTTTATATTTTTAATAAAGACAGGGATCTACTGATTTAGGAACCCTGTTTTCCTTAAAAATTGTAATTTTTTTTTTCCAAGATGGAGTTTCCCTCTTGTTGCCCGGCTGAGTGCAATGGCACAATCTCGCCTCACCACAACCTCTGCCTCCTGGGTTCAAGTAATTCTCCTGCCTCAGCCTCACGAGTAGCTGGGACTACAGGCGCCCGCCACCACAACTGGCTAATTTTGTATTTTTAGTAGAGAGGGGGTTTCTCCATGTTGGTCAGGCTGGTCTCGAACTCCCAACCTCAGGTGATCCATCTACCTTGGCCTCCCAAAGTACTAGGATTACAGGTGTGAGCCACCACACCTGACCCAAAAATTGTAATTCTTTTTTCTTTCCTCACAACCTCTCCTGTGTGTGTACGTAATCTATCTTTAGTTTCTACTGCTTTCCACTCATTTTTACTATTTTTTAAAATTATTTTTCATTTTTAGAGATGGGATGTCATTCTCTCCTAGGCTAGAATGCAGGGACACAATTATAACTTGCTGCAGCCTCAACTCCTGGCCTCAAGCAAACCTGCCTCACCGTCCCAAGTAGCTGGGACTACAGTCAGGCACCACCACGCCCAGCTAATTTTTAAAAAAATGTTAGAGACCGGGGTGGGAGGTGGGGTGCCCTCACTGTGTTGCTCAGGCCTCTTGAACTCCTGGCCTCAAGCAATCCTCCCACCTTAGCCTCCCAAGTAGCTGGGATTACAGGCACAAGCAAGGGTTGACTAATTTTTTAACTCCTAAAAATATACTCAGTCCTAGGATAGCATAGAGTTTACTATATTAAGGACCTTAAAATCTTGTTGAATATTCAAACATTAATCTATAAGCTTGGTCAGTTCAGGGCTAGCATAGTATGTTGCTATTACAATGGATGTGTTCATACATGTAGATAGGAGGAATGAGGCCTGTTACAGAGAACTTGATAGAATTTAGTGTAGATGTAGAAGGTAATAAGCAATCGGATGATAATAGTGCATTTGAAAAGGTACATCTGGCAACTAATTCTACAGCATTGTAGCATTAGTATGGAATATATGAATAGACAAATTAGTCATTGTAGTTGAAATCTCCCTAAAAACATAAATTAAAAACTGCCCTTAAATAGCTTAATATCTTTCGAATAACAATTTTAGGAAGCCCAGGATAACAAAAACCTATATATGCATCGGATAAATGTTATTTGCTGGGGATGACAAATACGTCACCCACCATTGTGACCCACGCTCATAACATATTATGTATCATGGAACTTGTTGCTGAAGTAACTAGAATGTGTTGAGAGTTTATAGAACAGCTCTCTGGGCAGCTCTTTTAACTAATCAACTTTGGCACTGGGATTAAACATTTTTATACCTTCTAGCATTTAGCAATTCATGCCAATTGAGGTGTCATTGAAGAGTTGGGGCTTGAATGAGAGGATCTCTCATCCTTATTTTTCTTTTGCTCTCTGACCCGAACTTTCTGATCTGTGGTCTTTATATCCTCCACATGTTACCACTATAAGTCGTATCTGGATGCGTTCATGCTGATCCATCTTCCAGTCTCACCTTCCAGTTGGTCCTACTTCATAATCCTTCAGGTTTAATTCAAAACCTAATTTATCCATGATACAGTTTTCTCTGAACTCGTAAGTAAGCCCCATCACTCTTAGCCCTTTTTTGGGCTCATTCTCTAATTGGCCTGTCTGGGTTCCATAATTAGATTGCAATCCTCCAGGAAAAGGATTGTATCTGACAGCCTCTTCTATTTCCATAGTAAATACTAGCTGATTGACTGTTGGTAAAGTTTACGTCATACAGCAGAAATGGCTTCTTCAGTAAAACAGACTGAAGAATGTGCTAGAGACTGGTTGCAATACAAGTGAGGTCTAATTGGTTTTAAATGAAGCATTTTCCATTCTTTCATTACTTGAGTGGTTTCAATTTGGAGTATCTTCGGTTCTACCTTTAATTCCCACATTTAGATTATGGTCAGATCATTTTCTGTTCCTCAGTTTTGGCTCCAGACCAAGATTTTAGATTTTAATACTATTCTAATCTTGCTTTATCCAACAACAATAAAATCTTGCCAAAAGGACAAGTACTATTGAAGATATTTCTTGTATTTTCATTAAGAAGAGCTATTTTATAAAAGGGATGGATGATATAAAGTATTTATATAACGTTTTTAATGAGAATTTTGAGCCCAATTAGCACATGTTTGTTTTCTCTCCAGCAACCATAGTTAAGTCCATCAAATCTCGACTTAGATCATCTGGTAATACAATGAAGTTGGGAAACGGTTTAGGTCGTATCTCAGAGGGTCCTCTCCTCTCACCATCCAAGTTTCTGCAGCAACAGTGTTAAGAAAGGATCCTGGCCGGGCGCGGTGGCTCACGCCTGTAATCCCAGCACTTTGGGAGGCAGAGGCGAGCGGATCACGAGGTCAGAAGATCGAGACCAGCCTGGCCAACATGATGAAACCCCCGTCTCTACTAAAAATACAAAAACTAGCCGGGCGAGGTGGCGGGCACCTGTAGTCCCAGCTACTCGGGAGGCTGAGGCAGGGGAATCGCTTGAACCCGGGGAGCGGAGCTTGCAGTGAGCCGAGATCACGCCACTGCACTCCAGCCTGGGCGACAGAACGAGACTCCGTCTCAAAAAAAAAAAAAAAAAAAAAAACTTAATTTAATGCTTAGCCTAATCCTCCACTACTGAGGGAGCAAGGCGGAGAAGTTTTGATGCGGAGCGTTGTCTGGAAGATGTTTTTGTAGAGGCATTTTAGAAATGCCCCTGGCAGGGTAGAGTAGGGGCTGCTCCGGATTTGTGAGTCCGTTTTAATTCCCCTTGAAAAGCTCGCCATGTGGGCGGGGGCAAGGCCCGGCTGCGCCGGGGGGCACCGCGGTGCTGCCCGTCACGGGAACCGGCGGGGTCCGGGAGCCCCTTTCTCCGCCCACCCAGCGGTCCGGCCGCGCATGCGCCGAGCTGAGGGCCCAGTGTTGTCGGCTGGGAAATGGCGGCCGCGGGCTTGGTCGCGGTGGCCGCGGCGGCCGAGTACTCTGGCACCGTAGCGTCGGGAGGCAACCTCCCCGGTGTTCACTGCGGCCCAAGCTCCGGGGCAGGCCCCGGTTCTGGCCCGGGCTCGTGGAGCCGCTCTCTCGATCGAGCCCTGGAGGAGGCGGCGGTCACCGGGGTGCTGAGCCTGAGCGGCCGGAAACTGAGGGAGTTTCCCCGGGGAGCGGCCAACCACGACCTGACGGACACCACCCGGGCGGGTGAGCGGGGCGGGGGCGCCTCTGCCCGCGGGAGACCGGGCGCCGGGAGCCGCCCCGGCCGGGGAGGCGGGTGCGGGGAGTTACGGGAGCTCGTCCTGTAGGCGCCGGGTCCGGACCCGGGTAACGGGGAGAAGCCGACGGCCCAGCCCCGCGGGCCTGCGCCAGCCCCGAGCCTGGGGAGAGGCGGCGGGCGGCGGCATCTCGGGGAAGGGCGCCGGAGTGATTGATGGATGGTTTCTTAGTCTTTCTGAGGAAACTCAACTTCTGCAGCGGCGGAGGGTGGACGCGTGCCCCGCCCCGGTTCCTGCAGGCCCTTTCGGATTCGGGGTGCCGGATGGAGCTGCTCAGAGATCCGAGCAGCAGGGCTGCCTCCGGGCGGGCTGCGTTGTCCGGGGAGGGTCGGTCTCAGCCCTGGCGGTTTTCCGAAAGAAGTGTTGGGGGTGTGTGTTTAAAGTGAACCCGAAAGAAGTGTTGGGTGTGTGGGTTTGAACCCGAAAGAAGTGTTGCGGGGTGTGTGTGTTTGAACCCGAAATAAGTTTTGGGGGGCGTGTGTGTGTGAACCCGAAAGAAGTGTTGCGGGGGTGTGTTTAAAGTGAACCCGAACGCTGGAACTTTTCTTCGCCTCCATCTAGTTGACTTACAAAATATACTTGTAAAAATAGCCAGAACCCACCTTCCGACTCCCTTGAGTTTCCTCTCCCACTCCTCATGTCCTCCAAAATAAAAGTTGAAGAAAGCTCCTTAGAAAAGATAGTCTAACATATCTATGCTTGCTATTCCTTTTTAAAGCATTACTTCGTGTTATGTATGTTTTCGAAAACAGGAAAGAGGATAAGAAAGTAGGTATTATTGGCTTTCTTAGTTGTAGGGAACAGTGTCTGGTGCCTGAGTTGTTGTTCATCATGTTTGCGGTGAGGGTCATCACTGCTCACCGCAGCCTCCACCTCAGCCTCCCGAGTAGCTGGGACTACAGGCACGCGCCACCACGCCCAGCTAATTTTGTGTGTGTGTGTATGTATGTGTATGTGTATATATATATGTGTGTGTATATATATATATATATATATATATGTGTGTGTGTGTGTGTGTTTTGAGACGGTATCTTGCTCTTGTGGCCCAGGCTGGAGTGGAATGACACAATCTCGGCTCATTGCAACCTCTGCCTCCCGGGCTCAGGTGATCCTCCCACCTCAGCTCCCCGAGTAGCTGGGACTACAGGCGCCCGCCACCATACCCGGCTAATTTTTGGATTTTTAGTAGAGACGGGATTTCACCATGTTGGCCACGCTGGTCTCGAACTCCTGACCTCAGGTGATTTCGCCTGCCTCGGCCTCCCAAAGTGTGGGATTACAGGCGTGAGCTACCGCGTCCAGTCAATTTTTTTTTTTTTTTTTTTTTTTGTAGAGATGGGGATTCGCTGTGTTGCCCAGGCTGGTCTCCAACTCCTGGGCTCAAGCTATCCTCTGGCCTCAACCTCACAAAAGGCTGGGATTACAGGCGTGAGCCACTGTGGCTGGCAGTACTTGGTGTCTTATTTTATTTTAAAATCTTAGATTGAGCACGTTTTCTATGCTTTGCAGCCGTTAAAAGTTGATAAGTATTACATATGATTCACTCATTTTGGAAAAATAAACAAAACTGTTAAACTAAATCAAGAAGCTGTTTTTTCCAAAGAAACTTTTGCTATAGTTTAAAATAGAAGAAATTAAATGCCTGCTTATTTAATCTCTTTTTGGAAACAGTTGAACTGAATATTTTTTAGTGAATTACATTAAAGTTTCTTGCTAAGGTAAATATGAGCAGCCACTTGCCTTTTGTGTGTGTTCTGGTAGACAGCATCTAAAATTATCGTTCATACCCCAGATTTCCTGCTTCTGTTTAGGAGATGGCTATATGGTATAGTGATTTCATATTGGTGTGAGTCATTTCAGTGTTACTACATCAAGCCTGAAGCTAAAGAACAAGTTGATTACAGGAGTCTATCTAGCCCATTATCTCACCTGCTTTTCAGTAGTTCTAGGAGCAACGTGTTGAGTCCTTAAGAAGTATTTTATTGACTAAGAAAATCCAAGTGCATTTATGGAGAATAATAAGTAATACCAAAGAGGTTTTTCCTTACTGTGCCCTGAGTTTTTAAGTATGGCGTTGCCCACACTTTAATAGTTTTCTATAGAAACCACATTTTTTAGTTGACTTTTTATCTGGTCAAAAAGTGCAAAAAAGAAGATTACAAGGCATTTTATAACCTATTAGACTAGATTCATTTCTAACATGTAGTAATCGGTTATGAAATATAAAAAATATTTGGCAGACCTTAGTCATTACCCAGTCTCTGAATTGTTTTAAACATAATGCTGATGACGTCATTTATTGGGTATTCACTATTTGTGATTCATTGTGTTAGATATTTTGAAATATATTGCCTTGTTAAAGGCACACAACAATTTGTGGATTAAATATTATCCCCACTTTACATGTGAGGGATCACCTAGAGAAAGTCATATGGCTATTACCACTGCACGGTATCAGTGGTAGAATTTTGGCCCAGGTTGTAGCTATTATCACTCTATAGTATCAGTGGCAGAATTTTGGCCCAGGTTGTAGCTGTTATCACTCTACGGTATCAGTGGTAGAATTTTGGCCCAGATTGTAGCTATTACCACTGCACGGTATCAGTGGCAGAATTTTGGCCCAGGTTGTAGCTGTTATCACTCTACGGAATCAGTGGTAGAATTTTGACCCAGGTTATAGCTATTATCACTCTATAGTATCAGTGGTAGAATTTTGGCCCAGGTTGTAGCTGTTATCACTCTACGGTATCAGTGGTAGAATTTTGGCCCAGATTGTAGCTATTATCACTATATAGTATCAGTGGCAGAATTTTGGCCCAGGTTCGTCTAACTCTGTTCTTTCCACTGTACCGTGCAGCCTCTTCATGTAGAAATAGGTATTGCTGTTCCTGTTTTTACAGATGGTGGAAACCAGCATTTAGAGATATTCAACACTTTGCTCAAAGATCTGTGGCTAAAGGACAGAGAAGAGGGTATTAGCCATGATTTTACTCTAGTTTGAGGTGACTCCAAAAGCCATAGTCTGTTTTTATGGCAGGTACTTTGATTAATTCGGGACCAACTTATGGTAGTTATTAGGTAGCTTAGACCTTATAGAAAATTTAAAGCCAAGTAAAATTAGTTGAATGCTAATATATAAAAGTTGCCTCACATACTGTTCCCTCATAATGTATAGCGGGTACATGGTAGAGCTGTTGTCCTTCGAATTCATATCCTAGGGAACAGCATATATTACCCATATTTATAATTAGACATGATTTTGAATTTATTGGGAACGTTTTCTTGAGACTTTCTGTACTCTTTATTTTAAAAGGTTAATCTGGCCGGGCCTGGCTCTCGCCTATAATCCCAGCACTTTGGGAGGCCAAGGCGGGCGGATCACCTGAGATCGGAAGTTCCAGACCAGTCTGGCCAACATGGTGAAACCCGGTCTCTACTAAAAATACAAAAATTAGCCAGGTATGATGGCGGGTGCTTGTAATCCCAGCTGTGTGAGAGGCACAAGACTCACTTGAACCCAGGAGACGGAGGTTGCAGTGAGCTGCGATTGTGCCACTGCGCTCCAGCCTGGGCGACAGAGTAAGTGCTATCTCAAAAAAAAAAAAAGAAAAATGAAAAAGGTTAATCTTTTGGAAAAGGGGAATATTTATTTGGGAATGGGTGACTTGATACAGTGGACAAGAAATCACAGAAGACTTCTTGAAGCAGAAAGGATATAACTTGGATTTGGGCAAGCAGAAACAAGAAGGAAAGCCATTGTAGGCAGTGGTGGACAGCGTGCAAAAAATGTCAGAGTATAAGGGACATCAGTTAATTTTGCCAGGCCATCATTCAATCCCTTCTGGTAACAGGACTCCCATTTTCCCAGGGAACCACCCTCTCAGTTAAGTGAACGCCACCCTGACATACGGTATGCCAGTGACTCAGGCCCAGCTCATGGTCAGTCAGTCTGCAGTCCATTGCTCTGGCCGTAGTGATTGTTCAGAGGTGGGCACATTTTGCAATGAGCACAGATAAGTAACTGAATTTTTTGTTGAACTGTTGAGAAAGAGGCATGCTTTGAGTCCTGGGGTTGCTGAGAGAATAGGATGTGAGCCTGGAAGTTACCAATAAGTGGAAAGCAGAGCCAAAAGATGGAGACAGTGAGACCAAGTTCTGATGGCAGTGTTTGTACCTTTGGGTCAGCCGCCATGCTTAAAGTCAGTGCTATCTCTGTACTTTCAGATTATGTGAGCTAGTAAATTCTCCTTTCTGCTTAAGGTGAGTAAAAAAAATTTTGTTTTTGAGACGGAGTCTTGCTCTGTCGCCCAGGCTGGAGTGCAGTGGCGTGATCTCGGCTCACTGCAAATTCTGCCTCCCAGGTTCAAGCAATTCTCCTGCCTCAGCCTCCTGAGTAGCTGGGATTACAGGCACCCGCCACCACGCCTGGCTAATTTTTATATATATAGTAGAGACAGGGTTTCACCATATTGGCCAGGCTGGTCTTGATCTCCTGACCCTGTGATCCGCCCGCCTCGGCCTCCCAAAGTGCTGGGATTATAGACGTGAGCCACCGCACCCGGCCAGAATTTTTTGATGATAAAAAGGTCCTGACTAATACAGTGAAACCGCTCATCATGATACTGTGATGAGACCAATTTGGTCAAAATAAATTACTGGATTAGCGAATATAAGAGCTGCCTTTCACATATGAGGAAGCTAGATAGCCGATAGGTTTAGAGACAGGTCAGCATTCATTCAACAGACATTTCTTGACTAAAGGATTTTGGCAGTTATCAGTGTACAAAGAGGACCAAGACATCCCCTGCCCTGAAAGCACTCAAGAGATCTAATGGGGAGATAGACAGGTGGAAGGATTGTTTGAATTGTATAATAGCTAAACTTTTATGCTGGGTAATGTAGAGGAAACAAACATGAGGCCTTATGAAT